ATCCAGTCCTGATCAACAGAGGGGATACGTAAAAATGTCAGAATGGCGTCTTTGAATGCTTGCGGTGTCCTTAATTCAGAATTTTCATCGTGGCCGTCATCAGCTTGAAACTCTGAGAGTTGCAGTCTGTGGAAACGGCACGGTGGGCTTGCAGTCGACGATCCGATATCTGGCCCTATGGGCGTCGGGTCCTTGCCTTTTCAGTAAAGAGGTTATCAATGGCTTCCAAGATTTCATGGCGTGGGGTGGTCCACCAGGCTATCCACTCACGGTACCGGGGAGGGAGGGGAGAGGGGAGGGGATCTGGGATCTGGGGACTGTCGGTGCGCTTGGAGTCCTGGAGACGTCGAAACGTGAGAATGAGAGGAAAAAGAAGGTTCTTTCCTCGAGGGTTCGGATGACGTTGTTTCTCCGTGGAACGGGTGTGTAGTTGACGGAGCTTTGGTTTCGGAAAAGGGCGATCTCTCTCTTGACTCGGTCTTTGGCGACATGTCTGCTACCTACGGCGTAAGTACTGCTGCACTTGGGCAGGCACACCGATGTTTGATGATGCCCGTGTGACAGCCAGCAGGGCCTCAAAGACTGGAGGTGAAGTGAAGAGAAGCCTCTCGTTGACGGGTGAGCTGAGTCAGCTCCCGTCTGGGCGGACATAGTAAGGCCCTCGGGCGTCGTGGACAGTGACACGATACTCAGTGAGGCGCCCGTCGACGCACCCGGGGGCGCCTCCGAGCGAGGGGAGAGTCATTGTCTGTTTCTTGACACGGACGCCACCAATAGCTTGTTGCAAAGCCAATTCCAAGCGCAACAATGGATAGGTGGATGATTGGGCTGGAGCAATGGCCGGAACAGGCAAAGTCGAATGTCGAACGTGGCCGTGGAGAATGGCGGTTGAGGGGGAAAACGTCGCTGCAGATGCCTGCGGTGCGGTTTGATTTGGTTTGGCTGCGCGATAGCGACACGAGGAATGCAGATGACTGACTACCTTGCCTCCAGGTACGGTGACTTCCAATGTCACTGGAAGAGGCGGTGGCAGTGGCAGTGGCAGTGGCTGGCGCCGGCAGCGGACCTTGAGCACGGATTCCCCAAACTGGGAGAGCACCTGATAACCGACCGATCAACCCGTCCCAACACTCGACAAGGAGACAGGTCCTAAGAGAAGGGACTGACTGCCTTGGCCAACATCTGGAGTGATGGAGTGTCGGTAATGCGGTTGCTTTGGCAGTGACGTGGTGACCACTCGCAAGCCGGCCTTTTCGTCCCAGGTAGCTTTCCGAGAGCGAAGCGGCAAACATCAACACACCATGACAGAAACGAGGTGCCGTCGTCGTCCCTGACCGCAGCTAGCTGCAGATTGACAAGTTGCGGTCACCACAAGCGTCGAGTTCGTCTCTCGAATGCCTCCATCCCGTCCAGTCCCCAAAAGAGGCGGCAACAGCGTGGCATACCATACCTGGCAGGCTGGCATCCAAAGCAAGCAAGGTGGCATCTGCTGACCTTGTCGTCCTGCCACTTGTTCGTCTGGCGCAGCAACTCTCACCTCCTCTTGGGACCCCTCACCCCTTCATGCTTAAACCCTCATGCGATCGACAAAGGGTCCGTATTCACAATTCGTCGTGTTAGACGATATGGTAGATCAACTATCACCCACAGGCTACCGCAGTACGGATACAGGCCATGGCATGGCATGGCCCGCTCGTACTTCGGTCCATTTCTCGCGCCATGACTGGGGGGAGCACCACAACAGAGAAACCCCATCTTCTGCATAGCAGAGGCCCAATGCCAGCCAAGCAATTCGCAGCAGTCTGCAGTGGGCGCCAGGCTGTGATTTCTTGGCGCTCTTTTTCGGCGTCGGCCATTGCACCGCTTCGGCCCTGATTCTCCTCTCTCACAGTCGCCGTCGCATTGAGGCACAGAGAGCATGAGAATTTTTTCCCGTCCTTCAGCAGGCTTCTCCTCAGTGTCTCTCCACTTTTGTTCTGTTATTCTCTCAGTCGGTCTGTCTCACCACGAGCCGGGGTCGCGTGGTGCATTTGCCGCAATGCTCACGTCGCACAGAGAGAGAGCGAGGTACTAGAGTACTGCGTGGAAGGTAAGACAGGGCCGAGGTAGCGGAGGGCTTTGAGCCGCGTCGGCGATGGGGACCGGATGGATGCTGATTACAGAGCAGAGCGAGATTTCCCCGTCTGAAGGAGGGGGAATTCTCGGATGAGGAGGACGTGGAGGCGCGAGCTTGTGTGGACGGTGGCGAATTCGCAACCTTGAGCCGAGTTTAAGTTGAAGGTTCCCAGTGATCCGGATCTTGTTTTGGGGGTCTCCAGAAGTTGGGACTTGGCCGTTGGTGTATTCGGACTCGGTCCCCCAAGAGGTAATCGTGGTGTACCGCCGTACGGTGTACCTGTGAATTCCACCTCGCCCAATGCCAGCTGAGGTGGCGGGAGGACGCCGAACTTCGAAGGGACCTTCGGGAGGAGCACCCAGGAGATGTTGGGTGTGGACTGTGGCCGACGGATTTAGGCGTTCAGTGGATGACATCCATTGTATTGTGGATATGCCGTGGATGTGCTTCAAAAAGTTGAAAGTGCTCTTTCTATTTTGTGTGAGTGCCGTGCCAGGTGCCGCCCAATGCTCTCGCGGCGGTCCAGCGGCCATCCTGGAAGTTTCCTTTCTAAGAGCAGTGTTCATCTGGGTTCTCGAGGTCAGGGCATCCCGGCGCGTGTGCCTGGGTCCAGCTGGCAGGCAGGAGCGAACTCGAGCTTGGCCCAAAGAGGCCCAGAATCCGGGGTAGTCCCGCAGCGATGAGATGCGTGATTGGCTTCCGGAGAGACGAGGATCGACGCACTCGATGTCATCGCCCACCGCCCATTATTACGCAGTTCGCCGTAATTCGCCAAGCTATCTGTACCAGCCGCACCAGGGAGACTCCTGCGGCGGTTGGCGGTACGAACACTGAGAGGCACAGACGAGCGGATACCGCAGGATACTATGGTAGGCAGCTCCACAGCCGTAGCCCAAGACGCGGCACCGTTCGATTTTCGCACCCTCCTCCATCCTGCCGCGGTGCTTCCGCACTCCATGTCTTGTTGTTTTTAGACTCGCTCTAGAGAATTGCCAGGCTCTGTGTCCTTACAAGGCCTGCTGACAAGGAAGCCGGGTGTCGTTGTTATCTCGCGCATTGCCGTCTGTCTGTCAGTGGCATTCATCATGGCCCGTCACCGCTGGTGTGGATTAAGCGGTAGCGAATGCAAGTGCAAAACGTCCTTGGGACTCCGTACTGCGTACATTGGAGCTTATGTGCTCTCGCAGACTCGCAGTAGTGTCGGGGAATCTTGGAACTCAGTCGAGCGGAGAGCTGCGAGGGGTCCACGGCAATCTCGCTCTGCCACTCCGAGGCGGCAACGGGACTGGACGCTGTCGGGTCCATGTGGACGGCGCTGGCTGAGGCCGACAGCGACCGCCCTGTCTGCGGCGGGGGAGCACTGCAAAAGACATGCTCTGATTCGCATCGTCACCCACTCATCCAGCGCGCTACTTTCTTCGCAGCAGGTGCTGCGGAACAAGTGCAGAATCAGTGTGTACTCCATAGTAAGGTAGCCACTTCACTCCATAATAATTATTGTGGGAGCAGAGCAGGTATCCTTCGGCAAAGCAACACTCCATCGCCCTCACAGTTCACTCAATTGTCCCTCCATCCATCCATCCATCCATCCATCCATGCCTTTCCATACTGAGCGCCGTGGCTCCTGTCCTGCATCGGAAAACTCTGCAACACCAGTGGCTGAATGACCGCTTGCCGCCCGTTGGTGATTATCCATCAACATCCATCAGCGACCACCGTTTTCTGCATGCCAGCATAGGTCATAGTGATAGTATGTATACCGAAGTACTGCGTAGGTTGCCAGGCTTGCGCTTTATTGCTGGACTCTGCCAACCCTGCAAGCCTGGAAGTAATAACGAAAAAAAACCAACCTTGATGCCAAGACCGCCGCAGCACAGCAAACAAGCAACCTGCTCCCAAGTGTGTGTGAGAGCGAGGTGTGGACTGTACCTAAGCAAAAAAAAAAACCCACCCGACCTCTCGCTTTGCTTTTGCCCACTTGCGGAGGCAGGTACCTTCCACAAAGTACCTACCTTCTTTGTATGTAGGTGACCAGGTTGGATACCGAACAAGGTACGCCCTACTTAGCGTTGGGTTGTTTAACGCCCAGCATTTCGCATTCGCCCGTTTCTCTCCCTCTACCTACCTTACCTTACCTTGGTCTGCCGGTCTTGCCTCACCGTCCGTCCATCTCATCTTTTCCGCCAATTCTTTCTTCTAGTTTTTCTGCTTTCTTCCTCCCGAGTCTGCTGGCTTTCCCGTCCGTCCTCGCCTGCGGCCCAAGTACACTACCGACCCGACCGACCTGACTTCTCCTGCCTGCCGCTTGTTCTTGCCAGCAGCTTGTATGACGCTTGCGCCCTCTCTGCCTGTGCCAGTGCCAATTGCGCGCCGCGGATTCGTCGGACCTCCACACCACTTGGAACTGCCGACCACGAACATATTCGCGCAAGCTTGCAGCTAGAAGGATTACATGACTGTACCAGACTACTTGGACGGGGAAAAAACTTACAACTTTACTGCCCCAGCCTTTTCCCGCCAGCCAGCTTCTTTACCCGTTTCCCCGGCCGCCACGAACGACTAAGCGACCCCGACATTTTTTTTTCCCCATCTCCCCAAAACAGCCATCGCCAAAGCTTCTCCAACCTGTCGACCTTGTCGCGTGTGCCCGTCCAACCCACGATAGCTGCGCCGCTGCCGAACGTCCTTCGCCCAGGACCCTCGATGCCCGCCGAGCGAGTTGCGCCCCGAACGTCAACACACTTACTGCGTCCATGTGTCAGACCCTAAAGCCATGGCATGGTTGTCATCGGTGTACAGTTAGCAACCCACCGTCCTTCTCCAAACCTCCGTGGTGGTAAATCCTGGCCGACTCCTCCTGCCTCGACGCTTCTTCTCGCCGAGCATGTCAGTCGTCACTGCCACTGACGATGGCGTCCCGGATCGTGGCCCGGCTGTCTTTGCCGTGACAACGGCAACATTCGTATTAGCGAGTGTCATGGTAGCCGCCCGCCTTTTCTGCAGGCGCTTCATCGTCAGAAATGTCAGCTGGGACGACAAGACCATGTTCCTGGCCTGGCTGATTGCCTTTGGATTGTCTTTCACCATTTGCTTCGGTACCCGTAGAGGACTTGGTCGTTACGATTCCGACATTGCTAGGAGCCATTGGGATTCATTGCGAGCGTGCGAATATGTCTTTTCAATACTCTATGTGAGTGACCTCCCGGCGCCGTTGGCGTGCCTGTTGCGCTGTGGCCCGCCGCCTGCTTACAACCTCACAGAATCCCGCCCTTATGGCAACAAAAACCGCCGTCTTGATCTTTTACTTGCGACTGTCCAAAAACACCCAAAAAGTACTCAGATTCGCTTCTTGGGTCACTTTAGGCATCGTCAATCTCGCTGGCACCGTGCTCACCCTCATGAACATTTTTCAATGTCGACCCGTTCAAGCAGCGTGGGAGGTTGGGCAGGACACCTCCCAATGCATCCCACTGCTCACCGAATTCATTTGCTCAGCGCCGATAAATATCGTCACCGATCTGGCCATCTTGGCCCTCCCGATACCAGTCTTAACCGGCATGAGACTGCCTCCTAGGCAGAAAATTATCCTCGTCCTTACCTTTACCCTCGGTATCTTTGTTACTGTCGTGGACGTCGTCCGCATCTACTACTTACAGCAAGCCGTCACCTCTGTCCCCACCGGCGTATCGACCGACCCGAACTCCCGCTTTGGCGGCACCCCGAACTTCGCTTGGAACTCGTCTCTGTCTTTCATGTGGTCAGCTGTGGAAGTGAACGTTGGAATGTCATGTGCTTGCATCCCGACTCTGAAGCCTCTCATCATCAAGATCCTCCCTGCCATGATCATTGACCCCGACGGAACACGTTCGAGCACTCAGACGGAAAAGGACATCCTGGACAGCCCGAGAAACCGCAACGGCAGCGACGGCCTGATTTCACCGACAACGAACCCGAACCGTGGCAGTGTTAGTGTCCAGCAGCCACCTGCGGCGGCTCGTGCCAGCCGAGATTTCGGAGCGTCGTTAAATCCTACGACTGCAGACACCGATGGCAATGGGCTGACCGCGCTCGAGTTTCTCACCACCCCCGAAATGACGTTGGAACAATTCGAGGCGTCCAGCGCAGGCAGGCTAGGTGGGATGAGGACCAGAACTTCTATGGCGACCAGCAGAGAGAACACCATCTATTTTGGCTTCGTCAACATGAGGCGGCCGAAAAGCATGGTCAAGTGTGACTCTCAAGAATCGTTCCGCTACTGCCTCGTGGTTACCATCTTGTTCCTAATGTGGGGCATCTCGTACGGCCTGCTCAACACCCTCAACAACGTCATTTCGAGCGTCTCACAAATGTCTGTGGCCCAGACACTTGGTCTTACAACCGCATACTTTGGCGGCGGTTACTTCTTCGGCCCCTTAGTCGTGGGTGAGTGGATTTTGAGGCGCGATGAGCACCACCGCAGAAACCGGAAGAATAACCGGCACGGGGCCGAGAGCGTCGGGGGCTTCAAGGTGACATTCATCGTTGGACTTTGCTTTTATGGCGTTGGAACCATTATCTTCTGGCCATCTGCCGTCACCAAGTCTTGGGGTGGTTTCTTGCTCAGCAACTTTGTCGTTGGCTTTGGTTTGTCCGTCCTGGAAACAGGTGCAAACGCCTTCCTGATTCTCTGTGGGCCGCCAGAGTACGGCGAGACACGACTTCTGCTCGCCCAGGGCGTTCAAGGCATCGGTGCCGTTCTAAGCGGTCTGATGGCTCAGCGGGTCTTCTTCACAAAGATCACCAATCAGGACGGTACCAACGACAACTCCACAACGCTACTCAACGTCCAATGGACCTACCTTGCCATCACGCTTTTGTGTGTGGCCCTCGGGCTGTTCTTCTACTACATGCCCTTACCAGAATTAAACGATAACGAACTACAAGAGACAGCCGACCGGCTGCCAGTCAACCCCCATAAGCGCAGCATTGGCGGGCTACAACTCCGAACATGGAGTCTAATATTTGCCGTCATTGCCCAGTGGACTTACGTCGCTTCGCAAGAATGCAACAACATATTTTTTCGTGCCCTGCTCATTGCCATCCTTCCGAACCAAGAAGACGCCGGATCAGCGGCAACGAACGCAGACACAAACCCAGGGGAGAACAGCGACAAACCGCCTGGCCTTGCACTGGGGGTGACGGACTATCACCTCGTTGCCCACAGCGCATTTGCCGTATCGCGATTCATCGTCGCATACCTCACGTACTTGTCCGTTCGAAACCCTCGCATGCCAAAGCCGAGAACGTGGCTATCAATCAGCGTGGGCCTGTCGCTTTTCGCTGCCCTTCTCACGGTTGTACTCAGGCCGGCGGACCCCAACATGCTGCTGATCCCGGTTGTTCTGTTCTACTTTGGCGAAGGACCCGTCTGGCCGCTGATCTTTGCCATCGGCCTTCGAGGCCAGGGCCGGCGGACGAAGCGGGCAGCCGCTTTCATCACCATGGGTGGCTCCGGCGCCGCCTTCTTTCCCTACGTCATGTACGCCACCATCAACAACGGCGCCACGGTGCAGCTTGCATTTGTCCTCATCGTGGCCCTCTTCGTGCTGACGGCCTTTTACCCAATCTGGCTCGAGTCCCTCAAGGACGCAAGGGCTATGACGAATCCTGAGCACTCGGTCATTACCGCCGAGGAGCGTCAGGCTCACGAAGACGAGATCGACATGAACCGCGAAGTGAGACGGCGCCGAAGAACAATGTCCACCATTGCGGCGAAGAGCAAGAGAGGCAGCATTTTTAGCAAAATATCCCCGTTTGGCAGAACCAACGGGGAAAGCGTTACTCCCCCGGCCGTTGAGCATTCTGAAGAAAAGAACTCCAACAAGTCGTCCGAGGCGAGCAACGATACACGGTCCCAGACCGTATGAATGAGCGATGTTTTTGATTACTGTGCAGGCCCTTGAGCCTGTTTATATTAATTGTTATATACCCAATGATAATGACGTTCGATGAATGAAAAGTTATGATTTAGACATTTCATATCTTGTCCGCTTCTAAATTTTTCCGTGAGCTTCAATGGTGACCACCTACTGTGCCAACCCTGACGAAATCTTTTCAAAAACCTGCACGCCCTCTCTGCCCAGCGCCGTGCCGACCCCGACGGCATACGCGCCGACGCTTTTCATCCGCCTGAACCCATCCGCATCCGACACACCGCCGACCCCGATGACTTTGATGTGCAACAACTCAGGCTCCTGCGAGACCAGCTCCGCAATCGTCTTCACGTTTCCCAGAGCCAGCGGGTGCAGCGGCGCACCAGCCATGCCTCCGAGCCCGGAGCCGGGGAGCCGCGGCGCCAGCCCATCCCCCTCTTCTTCCAACAACAGACACGAGCCGAGCGTGTTCACCGCCGTGATGAAGCTGATCTTGCTCGGCACCTTGAGCATCGCGTTCCTGGTCACGACGGTCGCGTCCTCGCGCAGCGCGGCGATGAGCTCCTGGTAGTGCGCCGGGTGCGTGTACGGCGGCGTCTTCAGTCCGACGGGGATGGCGGGCGTCTGCGGGAGGGCGGCGAGGTAGGCCTTCAGCTGGGCGCGGTCGGACGCCGGCGGCGCGGCGGCGGCGATGTTGGGGCACGAGAGGTTGATCTCCATCGCGAGCGGGTGCGGCGTCGTGGGCGCGAAGGCGGCGACGCGGGCGTAGCATTCTGCGATCTCGTCCGGGGAGCCGGTGACGCTTATGATGACGAGCTTGCGGTGGTGGTGGCCCTCGATGGGGGACGTGGGGAGCTCGGCGATGAAGTCGAGGTAGGTGTCGAGGGGGAGCGGGGAGTAGCCCAGGTTGTTGAGCGAGGCGACGTCTTCGGGGCGCAGGTCTTTCGGGGTGGTGTGGTGGGAGGAGGAGTTGGGGACGGTGGGGGAGGGGTGGGAGGTTGACGGGGAGAAGAAGGTGTACTGGTGGCGCGCGTCGGAGTGGGCGAAGCCGGCGAGGAGGGAGGTGCGCGTGGTGAGGGCGCCGGTGTGCGGCGAGGCGTGGAGGGCTTTGAGGTCGGAGAGCGTTGTGCACCAGGGGTTGGCGGAGTTGAGGAGGGGCGGGGAGATTTTGAGCTCCGGGGGAGGAGGGGCGTTCATCTTTGGGGGCTTTCGGGTGCTTCTCTGATGAAGTTTCCTGAATGGTGTTGAAGGAATTACTCACTGAGACATGGGATAGTGGGTGTGGCAGTATGTCTGTGTAAGTGAGTGAGTTCGCAATGAATGATGAGAGGGAAATGACTTGAGGTTGTCGTCAGGTCCCCCGAGTCCCGCGCGCCGATGTGGGGGGAGGCGGGGTTGATAAGATAAGCCGCCCCGGCGAGGTCCGAGGGGCCGGACGGGCCTTTCGGCCGATGTTCGACGGTCAGATTTGTGGCTTCTGTGGATTGGAGGGAAAGTATGTTCTTCGCCAGTTTAGGAAGGTTCTGTGCGGTGGTTAGTTGCGTAAGAGGCAGGCAGAGTTGGACATGGTTTGAAGCCATGTATAAAGGCGTCAATGTCAATGTCTGCTCAATGGCTTCTTTCACGCAAATGAGGTATATCGTCTCAAGGTTTTCAATAGAATTCTCATCACAATCCTATAGGACATGATGATTTAGCCAAGAGAGCCCCATTAACGTTTCAATTGTCTCCGCGATGTTAATTAATACGGCTAGAATACTCACCGAGCGGTGCAAAAGAACGAAGAAAGACTGCTGTATCGGTCACCACATCAATATCAAGATATGATATGACTGTTTTCATGTATGCGTTGCTGAACATTCTGCGGAAAACTCAGAGACGACTGTACCGACATTGGCTGGTGTAGGATCAAGCTTGGGAGAAGATAATCAGCCTTCGTTTGGACCGTCTGGGCGAAATTCCAAAGGTTGAGCATTATCGCACCTCCTACTAAGCAAAATGATCAATCCATAACATTGACGACCCTGACTCTATTTACAAGAACACATGGGTTCATGAGGCTTGAACCCAAAACCATGAGAACGCAGAGGATATTGCTAACGTTTCTTGTTTATGGATCGGTGCGCACTGGTTGATCAGGCTCTTGACTAGATGCTCCCGTTTTTTTGAAGCACTCATCACAGAAGTGCTAGTGCAGTAGTATGAATACATGCATGATACTACAACGAATGCAGAGAAGACGAGTAGAAAGACGACATTTGATATATTCAGTCTCGCGGAGCGCTCTTGTTGAATTAGTTGGGGATGTATCAACTTCAGATCAGAGTGCGCACCCGCCCGCATTTCTCCCGCAGCTGGGCCTGGCTAGAGGAAGTTTCCATGGCTACGCCCTCTGCCTATTTATAGTATCCTATTTCCAGACCAGACCCAGATCGTTCACGCCATAGGGCTGAGGTGGTCCGACGGAGGGTGTGAATATCCAGGCGTGGCCACACCCGGCATGCCCAAGAGTCTCACCACGTCACCATGCAGCCCCAGGAATTCAACATAACGACAGATGTAGATCCGTGATGATTTTTGTCCGGTCTCAAAAGACGGCATGGACTTTAAGAGCTATTTAACGATCTCTCATAGGACTTCCTCTTCGTGAATGCCACGGGAATGTAGTGATGAACCCATCAGGAACGCCGCCTGATCCAAGTCGCTTACCGTATCAAGAAAGAAGAACAAGCGGTCGTAAGTCGAATTGGTAAAGCTTCAGTCGTTGATCAGTTTACTTCAGATGGTGTTCCGAAGCGACATACCTATCGAGAACACAAATATTTCTCAAGTAGTTAGGGACGAAGATGGCCGACAGCCCGATGAATTCGGGCTTTCAAAATCATTTTGGATTCGTGCCTGATTTCGCATCATATTCTTGGCCAAGGTACCTCAAGATCCGGTGACGCCGTAATCAAAGACACCCATTGCTGCATACCGGGCGTTGCGGCTTCGTACGAAGAACCTCGCCTTTTTAAGAGGCTACAAGGCTCTGACTAGACGGTCGCCTCCGCGAATGCGAAGAAACATCTTGAACTGTGACATTGGTTCTCGCAGAGAGCGAGCAGTACACATGTTTGCGTTACTGTTTACTTCTTCTGTGGATGAAATGACTTCAAGCTCGAGCTTTGGTTCGGGAAAGATAATGTGTTGGGTACTGTTCTTTGCAGCAGAAAAGCATTCAACACAGTGGGATATGATTGGTCAAGCAAGCTTTTTGGAACATACAAGATCATGACGCCTTATGTGTTGCTTCTGCCCGTCGTCATCGTAGTCTCTATCATATGTATGATCGTTCTTACTTTAGAGTTTTACAGTAATGGCTTCAGCTTCAGTAGCTGGTGACATTTAAAACAGGAAGAAGGGCCGATGGTGGCTGCCGACCAGGAACTAGAGCTCCTTAACCGACCAAGGTTGGAAATGAACTGCCATGTCCGAGATTCAGGACATATCCACAGCGCTCTACGTGGTTCCTTTTAAACACCTCCGATTTTCGAGGAATAGGCCGCGCAGACTGCTTTTAGAGTTGACGATAGACTGCTTAAGAAACTCACCGGAGCGTTGCCCTTCTTCGTCTAGAGGACGGCCGTGATTCTCAGGTCTGAAAGAAGTTGTACCATGCAAGCTCTGTTCTCAGGAGTTGCAATAACATACGACCAATGGAGTGCATAGACACACTTCTTGACCACCAATGTTGCGGGCGTTGCTCGTATACGGCCCAGGAGAGGAAGAGCCTATGCAATAACTACTATCTCGCCGAGTTGACGGTGCTCATTATGCTTCCCGTGCAACATATGAGTACTACAGATAGACCGAACGCGACCACGTCGCATTTATTGAGGACTAGTTCCCCAGGGACTGAAGCATTTTCGCCAAGTGCGTATCTAATTTCGGATTGTGATCGGGTTCTCAAGCACTTTGCGTCTAGCTCCTGGCGTGCAGGTGGCCTTGCACTCACTCGCTAGATAGATGTAGAATTAGGGCCGGCGGTGGTTTGAAAGCAAAGACGAATTGATGCTGCTCTGATTCTTGCAGTATCAAATAACAGTCTGGCACAACGACATGGGCGATTCCCGCAGCATTCAGACCAGCCCCAAGCCTCAATCTAGGCTGAAGCAGCCGCTTTCATCTTAGGCAGAACTCAAATGTTGGCAGTCATGGCCGGCCATACGACTCCAGGGATTCCGGAAATCGTGGCCTTGCCCCGTATGACAACACTCCCTGCCATGTGCAGCAACCGGGAGGTCTAGCCATTCGTTCATGTTGTGATGTCAGCATTCTTTCTCGTATTCGCTCTGACAGTTCGCATCGACATCAGTGGTCCGGTCGTATATCGCAGATGACGGAGGGTGACAATCGTACTGTCGGTCGTCACCACGGCATCTCCCCGGAGTCTGGTCTTTTAGCGAAGGGCACGTGCAATGCATGCACCCGCCCTGAGGCACAAGACAGGGGGGGAACAATTCCATCTGAGACCGCTCCAGGTGTTGTTATTCAAACGGTGGTTGAGCCAGGCTATAGCTGGCTCCTTCTAAGAGTCGCACAGCTGCTCCGGAGTGGTCACGCGTCAAGCCCGGCCTCCGTTCGGCACGGCCGTCGTCCGTCCGCCCCCGCCCATCCCCGGCGCACCGCGCACCCCCTCAAATACGAATATTAGACAAGCAAAACAACCTCGAAACGACGCCGAAGCCAACTAGACTTTCGTATCCCGCCTTCGTACCAATCATGCCTTGCCAAAGCCATACAGCCAGCCCTCCACACGCGTTCAGCAGCTTTAGGTACCGTATCTTACCTTTCCCCCGCAACTCCGCAATGCTTCCCCCCAAAACCCGTCCCCCCACGTTACCAACGGCGCTGGCTGCTGATGCTGATGTTGATCCCTTCCCAGTCCCGTCCGGCGTCGAGATTAGCACCCAGGAACGCCGCGCGTGACCCGAATCCAGGGTCGACCAACCCACGGAAAACCACCAGAGACCCTTTTCCATGCGTCCATCCATCCGACCCCTCCCAACTCAAAACTTCCTTTTGATCCTTCCCATTTATTATGTTGGATTCACATCGTGGTCAGTCTCGCTGCTGGTGTAGCTGAGCATCCATCACTCAGTCAGTCTTCCTCTCCCCGCCTTTTCCCGTTTCCCACATCCGGCAGCAGTCGTTGACTGGCTGACAGCTCCAGCGCACAGCCAGGCACGCGCGCCACACAAACCCCGGACTGAACCCCAGCCCGCTCCCTCCAACCCCAGAAATCCTACCCCAACCTCACTACCACCTCACTACCAGCCCGCCCCAAGCTTGGGTCGCCCGATATGTGCCCTCTGCTATATGCTCCCCCCCCCCCCCCCTTTCGTTCTTCTAGAATAGAAGAAAAGAAAACGCGAAAGAAAGGGCCTCAGATGCGACGGCCCGAACAGCCGCGCGAAACGGAGCCCGTCTCCTCCACACCTCCTCTCATCTCTTGCACTCCAACAGGGCAAGGTAAGGAAGGTACCTTACTAGCAGCAGACCTCCATCCGCACACCACGGAGCCGCACACACCGCTGCCGCCACAACTTCATCTCCATGATGTACCTTAGGTCAGGTACCTTGTACGGATACAACAAGCATGAGAGAGAGAAAAACCCCATGCATCCTCCTGCCTGCCTGCCGATTCCTCGCACCGTTCCCTTCCCGACCCGAGCGAATACCGAGGGGGCAACTCAGAAGGGGTAAGGTAGGTATCGCCCGTCGTGTTCAGACCCTGGTTTCCGGTGCCTCTGCCCGCCTGCCTGCCCCAAAATCCCCGCATTCGCTACCTCATTACAGCGTCGCACCGGCACCTTTGGCTCTTCTCGTCAAAAGATCCTGGTTGCTGTCCCCTCCCTTCCGCTCGGCCGAGACACATGACGAACCCCAGGGTGCCTGACTGCCTGTCTCTCTCTCTTTTTTCTTTCTTTGCCCTTGGGGACGGGGCGGGAAGGCAAGCGCATGCAATGTACAGAGAAAGAGAGAGATGGAGGCCCAAGACCATGTCACCTGCCCGGCAATGCTGCACCTGGACCTGACTACTTGCGCGCGCCCAAATGAACAGCCCACCCACTCCCCTTCCCCAGGACTCTCAGCCAGCCCTCGTCTTGGTGGCGTAGATGCGAACCAACCCCGAGCTGAAGACTGGGCATATGTCTTTGTCTTGGCTGGGGCTGGTTTCCCCAGGTCGGGACTTTGTGCCAGACGTGCAGTGACTGCGGTGACGAAAAGTCTTGGGGTTCGATCGGATCAGACCGAGGTGTCTACACCGGGAGGCGTCTACAAAACGTCACTGATTCGGTTGATAAGATAGCAGACACAGATATGACGTTGAAATATTTGGTTCCATTGTGACAGGCTCTGGTAAGCGTGTACTGTAGAGTCCTCAGAACTCTCTCGTCAAAGCTGAAATAAAAAATCCCTAAAATAGGGTAGCATGAGGACAGGTTATCTGCCCCGATGGGACCCCCCGTCGCTCAGCGATCAAGAATGGTAAATGTCCCTCCCTCCAACGCGAGACCCCAAAGTCTCTCTCTTTCTCTCTGCCTCCGCGAAAGCCATTATCCGAAAAGGATCCATGGATGCTTGTTCGTTGTTCATACACAACCCCCCGCTGAGAAAGCACCCAGTGCCATAAATAAAACTCCCAGACATGCTAGATCATCCCATCGTCAACGCTCCGTCCAGAATTGCCGTTTCCATCCTGATGATGACTTTTTGCCCCTTTTCTATAAAGAATGCCAGTTGCCCCCGAGCTTTGTCCATGTTTCCAAACAAAAGTGTGCGCAAAAGCAGAGGTGTCGTGCTAGGCGGAAAGACAAATAAAAAGTGAGGAAATGACCTGCCAGCTTTTCACATTCGAGTCATAGCTGGAGGATCGTCGAATCGTACACACAAAGTTTAGTGCGGCGCGCCGGTGCCGCCGAAGAAGAAGTCGAGTTCGCTACCCGGACGTGCGAATTGGTGCTCGTTCTCGGCAAGTTGCTCCAAAAGGCTCAGGAAGGGGTCCTTTTCTTCGCCGGGACCGGTTCCAGTGCTGCCGTTGTTGCTCTTGTTGCCCGGGCTGGGTGCGGCCACCCCTGGTGCCACCTTGTTTCCTCCGTCGTCGCCGTGCCATGCGGCAGGGCTGCCAAAAGCGTTGGTTGGTAGACCGCCAAACATGGGGTCGTAGCTACCGCCTCCCTCGTTGTTGCTGTTCGGTCCAGGGGTCGCGAAGCTGAATTGAGGGGAGAAGGGAGTCGAGGATAGAGTGGGAATGTTACCCTGCTGATGGTGTTGAGGTCCAAGAGAGAACCCCGCGGCGGCCGCCGCTGCTACCGCCGCGTTATTTGCAGCTGCTTCATCGTACTGCCCATGAGGCACTGGTATGGGCGCATGTTCGATTGCCTCAGGGTGAGGTGGCAACGAGGTGGGTGTTGCCAAGAGGCCCGGGGATGGGTGGGCAGCCACTGTCGGGGTGGGGTGAGAGAATGAGTGGCGGGCGTGAGACGGCGTCGGCAACCCATGCGGAGGGGCCATGCTGGTAGTACTGAGCGGCGACAGGACCTTCGGGTCCGGACGCTTGCGGCCAGATGGCGCGGTGTTCTTGCGCTTGAGATTCGGCCGCTCGTTCTCGTGCATGCTGTTCGCGCGAGGTGCGTAGAGATCATGTCCCGTGTAAGTGTCCGTGGTGAAGTCAACAACGACGTCAGACAGGCTCAAGTTCGCGGCATCGAAGTTGAATGTCTGGCCGCCAGGTCCACCAATGTTGGAGTATCTGTCGAAGAAATCCTCGAGGTGGAAAGCAGGGGAGTATCGCATAGGGTTGTTTCCTAGACTCTTGACAAGCTCGGAATGGGCGTTGTAAATGCCCTGGAGCGTCTCTCTCTGGTGCTGGACGCTGGCCCACGCATACCGCAGCTCGCTCAGTTGTTGCATCTCGCGGGACAAGAAGTCGGCCGACATGCTGAACACAGTCGAGTCTCCATTTCCGTTCTTGTTGTAGTGTGCGCCGTGAATGTGGACTGTGCCTGCAGTGCAGATGCAGTAGCCAACAAAAGCCGGCCACTCGATTGTTCCGGTTTGTTTGCCGAGTTCCACGAGCTCGGAGATGGCGTTCGCATGGAGGAAACACATGTTTGTCGCTTCAATCTGCCATGACTGATGCTGTCCGGTTCCAGCAAGCTCGGCAAGGTCGATCGGAAGGAACGGTCGGTAGATGAGGCAGTGAATGAGATGGTAGATCAGTTTACTCAGGACGAGGATCGTCGAGTCGGGCTGGCCAAACAGCGTATCCAAACTCGAGAAGACGTCTTCGGTGCCGGATGCCCAGATGTCCAGGTCTTGACGGATCTTGGATAGGTTCGAGAGTGAGTGCCAAGGAAAGTGAGAGTCGCCCTTCACACCTCCGGCTGCAAGGTATCGGTTCGTGATGCCGAGAATGCGGCTAATGTCGATAAGCATACCCGTACTTCCCTGCGACTTTTTCCCACTGCCCTGAAGAAATTGGAGGTTGGACCCAGACTGAAAGAATTCGCCGTCGATTGGTGGTGCTGAGGGATTCGGTGACCAGCATGGGAGTCGGAGGAGGATGGTCTTGTCGCCGATGAGAGAAGGGCGCTTTGAACCACAGGCCAGAAACCGGTCGAGCAAATAGCATGTCCAAAACAGCCTCCTCCTCATTTCTCTTTCAACAGGCGTGACTCGAGCATGGTTGTCCATTTCGCGGTGAGTTTCGAGGGCCATTGCCATCCCTACTGCATTTGCTGTGGACCAGTGTTAGCATCATCGCGTGGCTCACGGTGTGATCCACGTACTCATCAACATGTATGCCTTCTTTCCCTTGCCCGCCGCCGTGAAGGCAATCACGAGCAACAACAAAGCTTGCAAGGCATCGACCGAAGGCTCATCCGTGTCTATCTCTGCTCTTGCCCTGGCAGCAAACTCTTCGCTAAGTTGAACAGCTGACTGATAACCGCTAGGATGAGGAGTGTATCTGGAGACGGGTTAGTAGCCGAAAGCGCCCTCTTTGGTAACACGTACCTCGCAGCAACCGCGTAGATGCCATGGACCAGGTAGTTTGGTAATTGATTCAACTGCAGCCTTTGTCGAACCGACGACTCGTCGAGAATGTGATATGGCTTGGAATGGAACCTGGTGAAGTACGTATCCAGGAGCGCGTCAGGCTGAATACCAGGTGGTGAAGGCTCACTGCTCAAATTAGGTGACGGCTTTCATGATTCGTCTGGGCGAAGGCCTACCTTGCGGGTGCAGGCGAGTAGATGGCCGACTCATCAACGTCCACCTTCGAAGTGTCCAGAGCTAGACGCTTGGGGTTTGGGCTGTCCTCCGTGTCAACTTCAGGGCGAGAAGCGTCTTCCTCCTTGATTCCAGCAGTTGTTGGCGTCGTTGGCGTTTTCTCTCCCTCGTTCTTCTCTTTCAGCTTTGCTTCCAAGCCATCCACTCTCTTCAAGAGCGCCTCGAGTACATCAGTTTTGGGTCCACGTTTCTTCGGCACGGCATCTGCAATAGCAAAACAATGAAGTCAGTCAAACCAAGAACCCTCTCACAGCTACATTCTCAGTCAAGTCAATGACGGAGCTCTGCTTACCGTATATGCATGGACATTGAAAAACTTGACATGCTTCGCATGAAGGGCGGAGCCTGTTGCACTTGATCTAGAAGGATGTGTGTGTTAAGACATTGGTTCAGAGCTTTAGGCGCGCATATCTAGCCTGCGTACAGCGCCGCGAGATTTCATGTTGGTGTCTCACCTTGCGCTTGCGGCATGACTTGCAATTCATGGATTCCCGGGGCTCGTTGCTCATCCGCCGTGTTGGTAGGCGCTCGATGCCGACCTGAGGACGGGACATGGCCACGGGGTGGACTCCGGGAGGTGCGATTCCGTTCATTGGTTCGAAGATGGACGTCGTCATGTCTTTGGGGGCGGGTGTAGGTAATAAGTGAGAGTTTTGGGGGTTGGTTGCTGCTCAGTTCGGTACGGTTCCGATAGTCGGGGGCGAGAAGCTGTTGGTTCAAGCAAGCTGGGTCTGGTCTGGCTGTGTGGAAAGCAAGCCGGTCCGTCTCTCACAACATGTCGAGGCAACTCCAATGCGGCCTGTAAGTCGTCTGCTGGATGTCGACCAAGATGGCGGGCGAAGAGGTCTGTGGTTGAAGTGCGGAAGCACAGAAGCCAGAACAGAAGCCGAGCTAAGGGTAGGTAGCGAGACAGGATCGGGGACGGGTGAGGTTATGAAGTAAGGAAGGGCAAAGAGGTTACCAGGCGTGGCCTAGCATGTAAAATGATGACTGTCCCCCAAGTGGCCGTCTGTGTGTAGACATGTGGAGGTGGCTAGGTAGTGCAGCCGACTAGGGTGTGTTCGTCCCTCGTCGCCCTGGGAGGCAGTTCGGATGCATCAAGCAACAGGGGAGCAAAAGTGAACGGTTACAGAACCAGGGGGAAAGAGATTGACAAGGAGCTCGAGTCCAATCAAGGCAGAGGAGAAAGGGAGGTTGCACGAAGGGGGCAGAAGAAAAATAAAATAGAGCACTGGGGGGGGGCGGTCATGGAGTCGTAGTGCACTAGGAACGGGACAGAGCAGTGCAGGCCAGCAAACCAGGGACTGGTCAGGAGCAGAGGAGGGGGAGTAGGTACTCTGTACACTCACTACCTTACCTGTCTAGGAGGTCCAGGTTTACAAACGCCGGGAGGAGAGAGAGAGACATAGAGATGGACTGCGTTGGTGTGTGTGAGTGAGTGACTGGGAGTGACTGAGTGATGGATGGAGTCGGAGTGTGGTCAGCCAACGAGGAACAATGCAGGCGACAGAGAGGGGAGCGGAGCCCTGAGGGGAATGAGGAGGGCCCAGCAGGAAAGGACCGAGGAAGGACTTCACTTGGGCCTTGGGCCTTGGGACTTGGGACTCGGGACCCAGGAGGAGACTCGGAGAGGGGAGGGGGGGGGGGCCTGGGAGGGACGTTTGGGGGGGCACGATGTTGGGGAAAGATGGGGCAACCTGCTGCTAACGTAGCGTGCAGGCCGGGGTATGGGGGGTTACCAGCGAGGCTTGTCTTGTTCTGTCGAAGGTCTCGATGCGAGCTAGGAGCCGACCTGGGGGCTGCCACCCTGGGATCCTGGGCCTTGACGCCCACCGACCCCTGTTCCTGCTAACAGTTACGGATACTGCTAGCTACCTACCTTACCTAGCCCGGATGAGAGAAAGACCCAGGCAATGGAATGGAAAAAAGACAGCTGTGAGGCCCTGAGGTACGGATATTGACTTGGACATCCAAAGCACCCAAAAGCCCGGCGAACCTCTCCCGATGCCGACGCACACGAATGTCTCGGAGAACATCGACAACGGGTAGGACAAGGCCTTGTCGTTGTCAAGTGCTGTATTCTATTGGGCAATGAAACAAGAAAAGAGGAATGCAATCAAAAAAACTGAGGGGGACGAGTCGGGCTCCGAGGCAAGCACAAAGGTAAACAAGGACAGGCGGTTGAGCCACCCGCGTTGCCGCTCATCTCATCGGCGTTTTTTTTTTTTCTTCTTCGTGTACCTAAAACAAGCGTTGACAATGCCGCTCGAGGTCGAAACCACACAGACAGGATCGAGGAAGCTGATGCTGCCATGTCTTGTCTGTCAGGACTTGTCAGCAATGACTGACGCCGGATCAAAAAGATTGTCAAGGTGGGAGTTGATACCTCCCCATTCGAGACACACGGGTTGCTGCAGACTCGCGTGGCTAACGAACGTAAGGTACCTGCTTTGTGGCGTTCCAGTCGTTTCTTCTCCTCTCACACGACCCGAGATACATACACTGCGTCCAGACGGGCCAGGGTTCATGTTGGATGGGATGTGTGGAGTCCCGAGATGAGAAGTGAGCATGCTCGCTGCGCGTAAAAAAAAGCAGTATGTGCAGCGCATCTGGTCACTGCAGTGTACATACATACATACAGTGGAAGAGGCCATGCGAGATAGACAGGTCGCTTTTCCCAGATGGGGCGGACCGGCAGCACATCAGGCGGTAAGCACCAGCCAAGGTAGACAGTGATCTCTGTTTGTGCCGGCTGGGTAGGGTTGGTTTGGGTTGGCCTGGCCTGGTGAGGTCGATGTCAACGTGATGCTGGCGGGCGGGAGAGGGGTGGCCATGAATGCGAGCCGCTCTTCTCGATGGCGGTGGAGCCAACTGCGAGGAATACAAGTCGCCCTGCAGCCGCGGAGAACGTTGGCCAGCCATATGACGGACACTGTGAGTGTGATTGTGCGATGGGACGAGGCCGAGGCCAGGTTCACTGGAACCCATTGGACTCTCTGCTCTGAGCAGGTGAAGTTGGCAGTTTGCATTTGCCAAGCCTGAGAAAAGACGGGAGGAACATGGGGCACCACTTTCTCCCCTCTGCGGTCATGTCCACTGAGCCGACAACATGAGATGGACTTGCACCACTATTGTCTGGGCTTTGGTGAAAAGAAGGGAAAGATCCCACCATGTGGAGGAGGGAGGACTGGAGAAAGGAACAGGCCGAAAGTCCCCACCGAGATTTACACACAAAGCCGGTACATCATCTCCCCAAGTACCACACATTCCCTGCCTTAACAGAGTCCGATAAGTCAAGGCGCCGTCCTTCAATATCATGTAACTATCCGCTGTCCGGGACACTCGACATGCAAGATGGGAATCGAATCACAGACACCAGGCTTTTGGGGGGCAGTCAACATAAGGTAGCGGAAAGCTTGTGAGCCCCGAGATGTCGGGTGCTTGCAGCGCCGCCTGCCCGAGCAGCATCCCGACGTTGCCGCCGCCGCCCGCCTGCCCCGATGTTGCGTAGGAACATTTGCTGGCTGCCCTGTCCTGCTCCGTCGTCGCCTTTTTTATTATTATTGCAAAATGAGATGTCAACTGCCATGTCCACAGCATCCCGGCGACCCTCGCCAAAGCTGCCGACGGTGGGCGGCCGCGTTCTGCCCCGGCCCATGTCGCAGGGCAGAGCGCCGCTCCTCCTCAGCCATTCTAGGTCTGTGACTGAACTGAGCGAAGCTAAAGACATAGGGGAACCTCAAACCGTCTCATCTGTGGGTTTTTCGTTGTCAGGTTTGTTGGTGGTCGTCTCTGTCTCTACGGCTATCTTTCACGTCTTCGTATGCTTGTTGACCTCATCCGGCCAGCTACAGAACCCGGCTCCAGGATTGACCCAGACTTTTGCTCACCGACACGGCGCACATCGCCTCTCTAAGCCTCGGCCGCGCAATAGGGTCTTCCCAGTCACTCGGCACGATGTAGAGAGAGGCCTCAGCTGAGGGCAGCCAGTGGTCCTTCTCAACGTCTTTTCCATTGCCACTCCACCAACAACACCCCGGCCGACAACCCTAAGGCACGCAACAGCCGTTCCGCCCGCGCCACGACCGAACATGACTCTGCTGCTCACTACATTGCTCGTAAAGATGGGGCGTTTCTGGAAAACACATATCCACTTCTCATTCAATAACCTTTTCTCTCATACTTGCTCGCGGAAGTCAGGCAACCTACCTTTCCTCTCTTCCCACCGGGCTGTAACTTAAACCTGCGCGAGATATATCCGCTGGCGTTTGAAATGCTCACCAACACGTGGGCGGCGGGAGAAACGCACGAGCGCCGCTTGTTCCACCCGCTCCTATCTTCAAAGACATCGAACTCGCTTGTGGTTTTGTCTCCTTGTCTCTCTAAGTCCAGAGCCTCCGCCTGCTCATCACGGGACAGCACGGAGCAGCCAGCATCAAACCACGCCGGATCGAGTCGAGTCGAGTTGACACAGGCCAGCGTCCACAAACCCCTACTTGCACGTTGTCGCCGCCAAGCATGCTCGAACAACTAGTACCTACCACCCTTCGAATGGAACCTCCGAGGTCAACTGTGCTACCCATGGAATGCGCATGGCCATGCAACGACAAGCCAAAAAGCCCGGTGAATGGACTCCTCCGCGGTCAAGGCGGCACCTCTCGGGGCCGGTACTTCTTATATTACGTACATTGCATGCATGCACTTCCCCAGGACTCATCTGGCAGACAATTAATTTACTGTGCCGTGTCCCATCAACAAGAGGCATGCTTCGTGCCATCTCGAGGACAATAAGAAACGACGAGTGCATGGGCAGGACCAGTCGTTCTCCAGCGAGGTGAGACGAAATTTGTTTGGATCGCCGTACGCAACGAAAAAAAAGATTGTTAGGACGAACAGGAACATTGCAAGGCAACAAGGTGCCATGCAATGCGCTGGTCAAACTCCCGGCAGATCAACAGCCCTGGGTGATGAGCAGCGTCGCCTGTTATTTTTGCAGCCCAGATCCCCGCCGCCAGTCCCGCCCTCGGGGCCTGTTCTATTCGTGGTTCTTGTCTCGTCCTGCCTGTTGCAGACAATGCTCCCGGCTGAGCGCCCCGTCGCCCCTTGTGAGGTTGCTTTCGTGGTGGTGCTGGGCTCGCCAGCCTTCCAGGGTTAAGTACTCACACGGGCAAAATTCAACGTCGCGAGACGAATACGGATATCGCCCTCGCGGAAAAGGACCACGGGAAAGCAGGCGATGGGTGTACCATGCCTCGCCGTAGGTATGCCCTCGCAAACCTGGTGCAAGACCACTGCGTCGGACCCCGTTGGTCAAGCCGGCACTCACCGGACCGCCAAGATCGGGCCATCTACTCATACCCATCCGTAGGGGTGCCCTTGGCGCAGGCTGGTCGGGCCTGGAACAGGTCATTTCTTCTTTGACATGGCTTCATACAGACTCGGGCATGACTCTGATGCTGACGTTTGACACTGACACTTTTGACAGATTAGTTCAAACACGCGATGAAGACGCATGCATTTTTTGCTTTCTACTCGTCCCGCCCCAAGACAATGA